ATGACCTATTTGTCCACTCAGTGCAGTTTTTTGGAATAGGTTGCAATGTTACCCATAAAAAAATGAAGTACTGATGCCTGCTGTCATATGGGTGGAGCTAGAAAACATTCTGTGGAAAAATGCCAGACATACTGGACCACCTGTTGTAGGATTCCACTTAGGAAATGTCTAGAGGCAGTTGAAAGAAAGAAAGATCGGTGAGTGCCAGCCGGGGGGGTGGGTGGTGAATTTGGAGAGAATGGGTAGGGCGTCTCCTTTTGGGGGCTGAAAATGTCCTGGAATTAAATAGATGTGATGGTTGTATGACCATTCGGAGGCATGAAATGCCACTGAGTTGTACACCTGAAATGGTTAAAATGGTAAATTTGATGTTTGCTGTATTTTCGTACACACAAAAAAAATGAATGCTGCTCTGTTCTGAATATCCTTATCATTCATGTAATCTAAATTCTGATTATTTTAGGATCTATTATTTATAAGAAATGTACTGGATAAAAGGATATGATGAATATTAGCAAGGTTCTTTCTAGTTATCAAAAGATTCCTCCAGCAAGTTGACCATCCTGTGTTCAGGGGTGAAACTGAGCCCAGGCCCACACAGAATGCACCTGACTGGGAATCGCTTCTGGGTCTAAGCAGGAGCTGGGTGCCCCAGCTCTGCCTGGGAGACAGACGCGGGTAACAGCGCTAAGGGCCACTTGGAGCACTTCTCCTCCGAGCCAGGGTTGTGCCATCAGTCCTTGGGCCTGCTGACATGTACCTTGAGCCTTTGACCTCCCACGCTGGGAGGCGAGGCCCATGGGTAGCCTCCAGAACCTGATGGAATGCGAGTCACCCTGAAACCGCCTGCTTGGCATTCTCCCTGGGGTGGGGGGGTTGCCAGGCCTGGCGTGGCTGTTGGGCTCGGAAGGGACACACCGGGGCACTTCGCCTTAAGTGTGGGTAGGTGTCCGCAAAGCAAGAAAGAAGGGCGTTGGAGGGGGAGAAGGCGCCACAGAGGCCCAGCAAACGAAAAAGCTTGGCTGGAGTGCCAAGACCATCCCCACCCCATCCACAGCTGCCACCCCAAAATCCCCTCCAACTCAGTGAAAGCCCCACCTTCTCCCCCCATCCCAGGGGTACCCACCATCCACACACCCTCAGCCCCTACTATATATAGTCTGCTCCCTGCCCCTCACCAGCTGGAGATGCTAACCATGGTGGGCATGTCTGGGTGAATGGATAGTCATGCCACGTTCTACTCTGAGTGCTTTTTGGCTGGTCCTGGAAAACAGGCACTAAGAGACATCCACCTGACAGATGAGGAAACGGGGGAGGCTAAAGGATTCACCCAGGACACAATGCCCGGGCCAGAAGCCTCTGTGCCCCAAGTCTCACCCCTTCCGCATCCTAATAGGTAACAGCCGCTGTCCCTCCACATGGACGTGTTCTGGATTGTTTCTCGAGTATTGCACGTGTACTGCCATCAAACCTCGAGGTGGGCCTTGTGGGCCTCAGCGTTCTTTCCATCCCTGACCCATTCCTCCCCTCCCCTGTCCAGGGGGATTCAGGTTTGTCACCCCGAGGTACATTTTCTCCTATCTGTGATGTTCATAAGCATGTGTATTGTCACAAACCATGTGTATGAATATACCACAATTTTTGGATCCATTCTACCAATGGCATACCTGCACTCTTTCTGGTATTTACATCCCAGTGTCCTGAAGGGGCATCTTCTCAACCCTCCTCAAAAGGGTTCGGGGTCCCTTTTCCTGGAATCCCTGCTTCCCTACTGAGTTCTGGATTTTTCCAGTGTTCTGTTCAGTTCAGTTCAGTTGCTCAGTTGTATCTGACTCTCTGCAATCCCATGGACTGTAGCACAGCAGGCCTCCCTGTCCATCACCAACTCCTGGAGTTTACCCAAACTCATGTCTATCAATTCGGTGATGCCATCCAAACCATCTCATCCTCTGTCATCCCCTTCTCCTCCCGCCTTCAATCTTCCCCAGCATCAGGGTCTTTACAAATGAGTCAGCTCTTCGCATTAGGTGGCCAAAGTATTGGAGTTTCAGCTTCAACATCAGTCCTTCCAATGAATATTCAGGACTGATTTCCTTTAGGATTGACTGCTTGGATCTCCTTGCAGTCCAAGGGACTCTCAAGAGTCTTCTTCAACACCACAGTTCAAAACCATCCATTCTTCAGCGCTCAACTTTCTTTATAGTCCAACTCTCACATCCAATCATGACTACTGGAAAAACCATAGCCTTGACTAGATGGACCTTTGTTGGCATTGTTCTATAGGAGTTCTTTACTCTGGATAATCCTGTGTCCGTTCTATGCCTGTCCTAACCGTAGTTATGATGTCTTTTGTTATCCAGAAGTCTTATAGTTTAACACAGTCAGAGTGATACCTTTTTCCATTCTTGTTTGCCCATGTTTTATCTTCAGGCAATTCCCTTGCCATCTGGTGGTTAGGCCTGGGTGCTTTCGCTGCCATGGCCCACATTCAGTCCCTGGTCTGATCCCTGGTCAGGGAACTAACATTCTGCAAGTTATGAGGCCCTGCCAAAAGAAAAAGAAAAAATGGCTTCTCTATGTCAGCACCATAAAAACACTTTTCTCACTCCTCCAAATTAGTTTTAAAGTTTGATCCATTTAGGACTTGGGTCCATTTTGAATTGGCTTGGTGTGGGTTTGGAGCAGTGGCAGCCAGCCAGGGAGGTGGGGCGTGCCTCCGGCGAGTGTAGGCTGTGGTCTTACCTTGTGGGGGACTCTGATGGGCTGGCTTTGCGTTCACACCTGTCCAGACAGGAGCAGGGACATTTGAATGGTGTCTTGGCTCGTGCATGCACGTCTTTCTCTTCTTCGTGGCTGAAGGATGAGGGAGCATGAGAAGTGCAGAATACTGCTTTGATCCTTGCCCTGAATGTCGCCATCTTGTCGGTACCCTCACCCTCCCTGGGAGAGGCTCACATCTTACCTGTCTTGCCCTGTTCCTGCCTTTTATTAGCTCTGGGGATTCAACGGGATGGCTGAGGAGGAGAGGAGGTTGAAGGTGCCCCAGGAGCTTGTGGCAGGAGCGGCCCCGGAGCTCTAAGCCTCCGCACCCAGAGCTCTGCTTCTGCCCAGTGCCACATAGGTCAAGGATCGGATAGCTGCAGGGTTGTCACAGGGGTAGCCTGGATCTGTGTATGTGTGCCCATCCCCCTCTTGACATCCCAGCCCACCCAGCTCTCCCCTCCCACTGCCTGGGCCCGGTTTCCATAGCAACACTGTGGCTGGGTACCGTTTCCAGGGAGAAATGCATCCCTGTGTTTCTCAGCATCACCTGAGCATCCCACTGCACACCATGAAAATGTGAAACGCGCCTCCTTACAAAAATCCTGAGTGCAGCAGCTCCACACGTCCCCTTCTGGACTTAAGGGCAATGGGGTATCAGTTAATGTTCTGAAAAACCCTGGTTGGGTGTGTTTGTCAATTTCCGTGGTGTGAATATTCCGACCATGACCACCACCCTGGCATTACCAATTGCCAGGTTGGGAAGAGACACGCAGCCAACCACCACCCTGTGGCGTGTCCTTCCACACACACTAGACTGAAGGAACCCTAAGGGGCCAGATAACTGGAAATGTAGTAGTTAGAAAGCCATGAGTTTGGAGGATTCATGGCCTTTGTTTTTAAGATAATTTATTTAGTTGTATGCTTGTACCATCGAAAGGTCGATACTGGATGTGTGTTAATGGATGCCTCAAACATTCCCTGACCCTTTTGGCTCTGCTAAGGGCTTCAAGGCCAGTCTGCCCATTCCCTTGGCCCCCAGCCTTAACCAGACCAGCCATCACACACCCCCTCATGTACACAGCAGCTGGTCCTTTTCTCCCGCGCACCTCCCTTCCTTCCTCTTTTTATAACTGCAACCTCCTTGGCTCTCTTGATCCTCTAGGGCTGTGCTGACCACATTCTACAACTAATATCTGTCTCCTTGATACTTTTTGATCCAATAATTCTACTTCTGGAAATGTTCTCCATCACCACCTAGATTATACAAAGACATACATAGATAATAGGTACAGAATGTACAAAAAAAGGTGTCTCTGCAACCTTCTTTCTGACTGAGAACCACTAGTAATAGACAGCAGAGACCAAACCAACACAGAGTGGATGGTCCATGCATAGGCTGCCTGTAATCACAAAGTGGGAAATGACCAAGGAGGAGATATGCCAATAGTCACAGCTTTTACATCCCTGAGATGGTGGGTGATTTCTGTTTCCTTCTTTAGGATTTTCTGTCTTTTTCAAATGTTCTACAGTAAAACTCTATTTGCTGATTAGATGAACCTGATTAAAAAATCTTTCCCGACTATGGAAAGATTGGGGAGAGAGGAAAAAATTTCCTGAAATTGCTATCTACAAAGGCCATACCCAGCTAGCCACAAGATGACTATCTGGGTTCCATGACTCAGAGGAGCCACCGGCTGTCCAGGGGTCCTTAGGACTCTGTGCTTTCCTGGAACGACACTCAGGGGCTGGCCTATTCTTGACAGCCTGGAAACCACGATTTTGCAAACTATACTGGCCATCTTGGTGAAAACCCTCATTCCTGGAGATGCCCAGCTTGGGGGAGCACTGTCACAATTGAAGACTGGGACAACCGTGGTCTTATCAGGGCCACTTCCTCAGCCCCTCTCTTGGGCTCGGGTGTGTGGCATCCTTTTCTCTGTGGCAAGCCTTGGCTGCCTTGAGGATGGAGATCCAGTCCTTCGAGCCTTTTTGCTCTTCGCGGCCCTCGCATCTGAACCCGTTTGTGGACTGACTTCTGTCGGCAGAAGGCAGTCAAGGTCTCCCTCCCAACTTGGATGCTCAAAGGAGGAGGAGGGTGGCCCAGCAGGGCTCTAGGCGAGGCTTCCCAGCCCTCGAGGTGTGACCCTGTCATCCCCAGATGGCTCCATGTGGTGGTGGAGGAGGCCGGGGTTAGCAGGGCCCCAGTGCGTCCTCACTGGGGCGTGTCTCTGCCACAGGTGAACGGGAAGGAGCTCTCCAAGCTGTCTCAGGAGCAGACACTGGAGGCCCTGCGTGCCTCCAAGGAGCCCCTGGTGATCCAGGTGCTGAGACGTAGTCCCCGCCTCCGGGGGGATGGCTCCTGCCACGACCTGCAGCTGGTGGACAGTGGCACTCAGACGGACATCACCTTCGAGCATATCATGGCGCTGGGCAAGCTGCGCCCACCCACCCCGCCCATGGTCATCCTGGAGCCGTTCGTCCCATCTGAGCTGTGAGTCGCCCTCAGGAGGGCCCCAGACCCTGCCTCCAGAGAGGGCATGCCACCCGGGGAGGCCATCTGGGCTACCCAGAGCTGCAACATTGTCGCAGCTCTGAGCATGGTGGGGAAACCCCAACTGGGTGCCCTCTATGGCAGAAAGTAGGCTCCTTGGCCTCCAGAACTGACTGTCATACCCCAAGGCTCAGGAATCTCTGGGCTTCTAGCCTCTGGCTGGAAGCCAGCTGGTTTTGGACCCATGGGGTCTGACACGCAGGCTCCCCATTGTATCTACCCCCAGGGCCACGGGAGGACCGTCCTGGGACCTTGCTGCTGGAAGGTTGGGGTCCTCAGCTATTCCTCTTCCATTCTCTCTTCTCCTTTGCCAGCATCACCCCTCGAAACTTCTTGCATCTTTGTCTGTTCCATTCCTCTTCCTGCTTTCAACTTCCTCCATCCCTTTGACTTTCTTCTTTGGCCTGGTTGCAAGAAGGGCCTCTCCTCCGGGCCTGATGGCTCATGACCGTGTGAGCGCTGACTCGTCTTGCTAGAGTCTCCTGGGCAGCAGGGAGGTGGTCCCGTGGTCCCATCCTCTGCAGTGAGGCAGACCCAGGGCTGGCAGTGGCCAGGCTTAGCCTCGGAGCCAGGAGGGCTGCCTCTGGATGGAGACTGGGTCCTGCTCCACTGCCCAGCCATCCTCCAGGGCCTGGATAACTCCTGGGGGCACTGCGTGAGTGGGTCCAGTGCCAGCTGGGAGGGGCACCTGCTGGCTGGCATGGTGAGAGGCATCGAGCTGGGGGTCAGGACAGGATGGTCCAGGACAGGGTGAGGAGAGCTTAGGCATGCCTGGGTCCTTGGTGCGGACAACCTCGCAATCTTGTTCAAGACATATTCCCAGTCTCTGCCTGGGTGCGTGTAGTGCAGGAGGAGGGGTATGGAAGAGGTAGCTGGGCTGCCACCTGATGCCCCACTTCTCCTGGGCAGCCCCCCCATCAGTCATGAGTATTATGACCCGGCGGAGTTCATGGAGGGCGGCCCGCAGGAGGCAGACCGGATGGACGAGCTGGAGTACGAGGTGAGACGGGCGGCCAGTCCTAGAATAGCTGTAGGCCGCCCAGCTGGGGCCTGGCTCCTGCCACCCCCAGGTGGCCAGATCTCACGGCCCTGTCCTGTGTGTGGCTTTTTACTTGGGCCCAAGGGCCAAGTTGGGCTGAGTCAGGGAGGGCACGCGTGAGATCCCTTGCTCGGTCTGTGTTGCTGAGTCTGTGTCCTGCGCCTGTGTCTATCTCATGAGTCCCGTGTGTCCTGTGTGTGTGTGTCCTGGGTGTTTTCTGCGTTAGGGGAGACCATGGGACCTGCGCACCATTTGGGATGGTAAGAGAGAGCCTTGGGAGCTCGGCTGACATGACACAGTCCTGGGGTCAGGACTGAGCCGAGGCTGCACCCGCCCCCCACGGCTTCTCATCATCTGTTTCTTCATCCCCCATGGCAGGAGGTGGAGCTGTATAAAAGCAGCCACCAGGACAAGCTGGGCCTGATGGTCTGCTACCGCACAGATGAGGAGGAGGACCTGGGCATCTATGTGGGAGAGGTATGAAGCTGGGAGGAAGCAGGGGTCTTCTCGAGGGCTCCATGCAGCCTCCCTGTGCAGCAGCACCCAGGAGGGACCAGGGCACCCCAGGGCTCTAAGGCTGCCCAGAAGGAGCCCACTTAGCACTACAGGGAGGCTGCCGGTCGGCGAGGCCAGGGCAGCCCATGGCTTCCGTGTGTGTGTGCAGTCAGCTGGTCCTCCCCACAGGCCCCGGGCTTGTAGTGGAAGAGCCCTTCCCAGTGAGCGCAGGGGTCCTTCTCCTCACCTGTCTGCCACGCTCAGCAAGTCAGCCCCCTGTTCACTTGTGGGGCTGCCCTGAGACTGCCTCTTCTTACCAAACGGGCACCTTAGTGGAGGGGGCCAAGGCCCCATTGATGCCCGTGCCTTGCAGGTGAATCCCAACAGCATTGCAGCCAAAGATGGCCGGATCCGTGAGGGAGACCGTATCATCCAGGTGAGCTTGGGGGACAGGCTTTCTCCTGCTCAGAGCGTAGCCTGAGGCCAGGCAACCCCCCACCCCCGTGCCTGAAACCAGAGCTAGGACTCACCTCTCTGCTGCACAACCACGCCCCCAGCTCCTGTGTGCCCATGGGATCTGCTGGCATGGCAGGCCACTTGCCAGCCTTTCCCTCCGTGCCCCCGACTTGAGCAGGTCTCCCACTCCACATGTGTCTCTGAGCACACGTGCTCTTGGGTGGGCCAGGCGGTCTCTTTCCATGGCATCTTCCACTTGCCTCCATCTTGCCAGACCCCAAGAACCCATCCTGGCCCAGGGTGCTTGCTTTGTAGCTCCGGGGGAGGGGGACCCCTGTAGCTCAACTGGGGCCTGCCCCCGCACCAGCCCCGGGGTCGCTGTTGATGGTCCCTGGCCTGCCGCAGATAAATGGCGTGGATGTCCAGAACCGGGAGGAAGCAGTGGCCATCCTGAGTCAGGAAGAGAACACCAACATCTCCCTACTGGTGGCCCGGCCCGAGAGCCAGGTGGGTGTGTGCTCACTCAGATATCTTGGGCCCCCCGACCTTGGGTTAGGGTTCAGGCCTTCTGGCACTGATGGGGGGCGGGGGATGCATTTCCAGGGCCCATTGCCCTCTATGGCCTCTGATGAAAGGAGGGGGGGCTCTGGGGTGGTCCTTGAGGCCACAGGGACAGCACAGGCCTGTCTCTGCAGCTGGCAAAGCGCTGGAAGGACAGTGACCGGGACGACTTCCTGGATGAATTTGGCTCTGAGAATGAGGGCGACCTGCGGGCAAGGAAGCTGAAATCTCCCCCGGCCCAGCAGGTGAGGACGGAGGCGGGGGGACATGCGGGAAATGGGGTGCCAGAGGGCAGAAGGAGGAGGGGGTGGGGGGCTGTAGGAGATGGAGCAGACCCAAAAGAAGCCCTTGTAATCCCCACCCCCTGGCAACAAACCCCCCCACCCCCCCTCCCACGTGATGGGGCCCCCACTGAGCAGGACTCCTCTTGCTGCCCCAGCTTGGACATGAAGAGGAAAAAGGGGCCCCTGAGGCGGGCCCAGGCCTGCACAACAGCCAGGAGCTGGACAGTGGGGTGGGCCGGACAGACGAAAGCACCCGCAACGAGGAGAGCTCCGAGCACGACCTGCTGGGGGACGAGCCCCTGAGCACTGCCAACACGCCTGGGCCCTTGCGCAAGTTCAGCCTGCAAGGGGACGCCCTGCAGAGCCGTGACTTCCACTTCAGCATGGACTCCCTGCTGGCTGAGGGCGCGGGGCTGGGCAGCGGTGACGTGCCAGGCCTCACAGACGAGGAGTATGAGCGCTACCGCGAGCTGCTGGAGATCAAGTGTCACCTGGAGAATGGCAACCCACTGGGCCTGCCCTTCCCCCGGGCTGTGGCTGGCCACGGTGCCCTGGACGTCAACCGCAATGAAAGCGTGGGCCACGAGCTGGCCGTGCTGGAGGAGGAGCTGCGGCACCTGGAGTTCAAGTGTCGCAACATCCTGCGGGCTCAGAAGATGCAGCAGCTGCGGGAGCGCTGCATGAAGGCCTGGCTGCTGGAGGAGGAGAGCCTATACGACCTGGCGGCCGGCGAGCCCAAGAAGCATGAGCTGTCTGACATCTCTGAGCTGCCCGAGAAGTCGGACAAGGACAGCACCAGCGCCTACAACACGGGCGAGAGCTGCCGCAGTACCCCACTGCTGGCTGAGCCCCTGCCCGAGAGCCCCCTGCGGCGGGCGACCGCAGCGGTGGGCAACTCCAACCTCAACCGGACCCCCTCGGGAGCCCCTGGCGCTGCCCACCCCAAGGCTGCTGCCCCTCCTCCCCCGGGGAGCCCCACCAAGTTCCGATCCCTCTCCCGGGATCCCGACGTGGGCCGGAGACAGCACTCTGCTGAGGAGCGGGTCCGCCACAGCCCCAAGATGGGGGTGGCCCTGGAGCGCGTGGGCCCTGAAGGCAGCCCCTACCTGTCACGGCGTCACCGCAGCCCGGGCCAGGAGGGCGAGCACTACCACAGCTGCCTGCAGCTGGCAGCCCCACGCGGCCTCGAAGACCTGGGCCCTGGCCCCTTGAGTGTGGCTGCCGGCCCCCGGGTGGGTGGGGGGGCCGTGGCCGTGGCCCCCGAAGCACCCCGCACGGAGTGGAAGGTCAAGGTGCGCAGTGATGGGACCCGCTACGTGGCCAAGCGACCCGTGCGTGACCGCCTCCTGAAAGCCCGGGCCCTGAAGATCCGTGAGGAGCGCAGTGGCATGACCACCGATGACGATGCAGTGAGCGAGATGAAGATGGGCCGCTACTGGAGCAAGGAAGAGCGGAAGCAGCACCTGATCCGGGCCCGGGAGCAGCGGAAGCGGCGCGAGTTCATGATGCAGAGCCGGCTGGAGTGCCTGCGGGAGCAGCAGAATGGAGACAGCAAGGCCGAGCTTAACATCATCGCCCTGAGCCACCGCAAGACCATGAAGAAGCGAAACAAGAAGATCCTGGACAACTGGATCACCATCCAGGAGATGCTGGCCCATGGTACGCGTTCGGCTGATGGCAAGCGGGTCTACAACCCTCTGCTCTCGGTCACCACCGTGTGAGCACCCTCTGTGCTCCCGGGCGTGGGTCCAGCGATATGACCAGACCCCCGTCTCCCGCCCTCCCTTAGCATCTAGCGTATGTCTGTGTGTGAGCGTGGGACTTTGCTACCCAGATAGAAGCCCCTGCAGAGAAGGGATGCCTCTCCTCATCAGCAACTTCCTTCTCCCCAGGGAGAGCGACCACATCCACAGGTGGCCTGGGGACAGACCTGTATCTGCCTCCCTTCAGCCATAGGATGTGTGTGTGTCTGTGTGTGACATGAACCCAGGCACATGTATGCATACACACATGTACTTCCCTCTAGAGTGGCTACTTGGGGACAGGGAAGTCTGCTGAAAAGGAGAGGCAAAGAAGACTGTCCTAAGCACAAGAGAATGTCCATTATTTGTAGACAGAGGCGACCCTGATTTTTTGTGGCTCTTTCCCTTTTCTGTGCTTGCTAATTGTTTTGGTTTGTTTCTTTTGTTTTGTGGACCTGCTCTGGAGCCTGGTAGCTCCTTCAGGCAGCCTGACCAAGGTGGAATCCCTGTTATGGCTGGGAAAGAGGGGGTGGGGGGAAGAAGGGACCGGGGCGGGAAGTTTGGGGGTGGGAGGGAAGGTGGGGAGATGAAGCAAGAAGGGGAAGCAGCTTTGCTGGGGGCCTCTCCTCCGAGGTGTGGGGACAGGGAGCATAGGGGTAGCTTGCCAGGCTCACCCTGGAGGTCACCTCCTTCCCTGGTGGCTGTGGGGACAGAAGGGGCAGTCTCCATCCAAGACGTCAGGAAGCCCAGGCTGTGCCAGACGCCCCTGGAGCTTGCCTTCTCTCCTGAGTGGCAGGAGGGGTCCAGAAGCCAAGTCCCCTGAATTGCAGCAGAAGACCCTCATGACGAGACCCACGCGGAGCTAGGGAGCGCCCTGGCACTGAGTGACAGGCAGGTGCTGCCAGCTGGGCGGACTGGGGAGCAGATGCCCTTGCACCCCACTTTGCCAGTGTGGACGGGGCCCCCTCAGAGACCTGTGTATCAGTAAGAGCTGGCCTCAGGATCCTTATGCAGTTCAGAGGACCTCAGATGGGAGGCAGACAGGCTGCCCATCCCTGCCCCCTGCCGGTGTCACAAGAATAAAGCAAGCTGCCTTTTGAGGGTGACTCCTGGTCTCCTGGTATTCATTCTCCAGCACTGGGGGCTGGTTTGGGGCTTGGTGGGTCACAGGGAAGCTGAGAAACAGGGAAGTGTCCTGCACAGTCAGTCTCTAGAATGCTGGGAGGGACAGAGCACCAGGATCATTTCCAAGGTCTGGCTTGGTTACAGGGATGGTACCCAGGTGTAGAAGCAGGGCAGAGACTGAGCTCAGGACTGGCAACGGCCTGGCACTGGCATGTGCCTGAGGCCAACGCCCTAGCTCTGGTCAGGTCCTAGAGAAGCGGTTCAGGGAGAGCCCTATGGGGCAATGGGCTGCGGTCTTCTGGAAGGCAACGTCTAGCACTCATGAGATGTAAATCAGTGTCTTTTGACCTGATGAGTACCAGATGGCTGTGGGAACTCCCAGAGGGTCCATTCAGCACAGCAGTCCTGATCAGTGCCAGAAACCCTGCCAAGTCTAGCAATTCCAGGGACCATGTGTGTGGTGAGCCCTTGAGCTTGGTCTCTTGAACAGACACAGGACAGGACGTGGCCAGCACCTTAAGTGGGTGGGGATACATTTAAACATTTTCTTGGAAGAACAAGAGACTTCCTCTGAATTTCTCTAATTTGCCAAGATTGGTGTGAGCAAGAAATCTGAGCCCATAGCAGAGTGCCCTGCTGTCTGAACAGCTGGGAGGGAAGACCCAGCATGGCACATGGAACACCAGTGGCTTCTTTGTGAAAAGGGGCAAACAGCTGACACCCAAGGCCTCTGGAGCTGGGGGCTAGGCATGCCAACTCTAGGGACACGAGTGTCCTCGGGAGGGGATACTCCATACAGGTCCCCAAGAAGAATGGGGTCCCCAGGGCCCAACGCATCACAGAAAACTGGCTAGAGCAGGTGACCAAGGGCACTCACTTTGATGGCTCTAGAGGCACCTCATTCTTGCTCTGCGGTGGGGTGCCAGATGCCCAGGGCTCCCGGGATGGGGTCCAGGACAGGCCTGTAACCTTGGGACCCCTGGCCATGTGTGTCTCTGGTAGATGTGACATCACAATGGCCTGGACCAGTGACTTCACATTTGGGTCTAACCCTCTCCGGGCAGAGTGGTGATGGAGCCTGCATCTTAAAAGAGCCCCAGGGTGGCCAACCTCTACCGTGCCTTTTTAGGAGCAGTGCTCAGCTAGCAGGCACCTCTGTCTGGAATACAGAAAGCCCCTCAGCCAGGGTGCCCTTGCCCCTTTCGGTCTTAGGGGCACTCAGCTGTGCCCTGGAACCTCCCCATTCCTGCCAGTCACCCCCTGCCCACCTGAGGGTGGGGGCAAGGAGCAGCTGGGACCTGATTCCAGAGGAGGTCCCCAGACAAGTCCCTCCATGCTCCCGAGGACAGAGCCTGGAGGAGACCCCCTACCCACTCAGGTAGGTTTTGAGTCTACCCTCCCTTTTGGTGCAGCCTCTGTGAAGGCTTGTTATTCACTCTGTAACAGGTGATGGGCGCCAGGTGCTTTGCTGGCGGTTCCCAAAACAATCTCTCACCGATGGCTGGCAGGCAGCCAGGTCACAGCTGAGCAAATGTGTGCAGCGGGGAAGGACCCTAGGCACTCCCCCCTCACCCACCGGCGGCAGGAGGGAAACCAAACTGGGCAGCAGGGAGGGCTGTGGGTTGACTCAGAGCATGGAGCTTGCACAGGAATGCCTGCCAGGTGCTTGAGGGAGGGGGGTTGCTAGGAAGCAAGGTGCAAGGCCAGACTGGAAAGGGCTGACTGTGGGCTCCTTGGAAGCTCGGGGGTCTGTCTCTGCCTTTCTCTGGGCCCCACCTAATGCCATGAGATAGGAGCATCCTGGGGTTAACTGGCTGGAGCAGAGAGCCTGTAAGGTCTATCCCCCAGAGAGCTACTAGAACTCGATTCAACAGCATCAGCTCCATAGGGGTGCCTGCAATACCCCCCAGGAAAAACACATAAAGTACTGGTGTGTGGCTTGTGCCCCGAGTTCCAAAGCCCAGGAACCCTTCCGAAGGCCAGAAGGGCTGTGCCTGCATGTGCTGCTAACTCCTGAGTTCCAGGCAAGCTTCCCACACCACTGTCCCTGGGACCCTGCCCTCATATTGGCAGGTGGTCAGAAGGCCCTTCTCTAGGCGGGCCCAGGCAGGCTGGGTGAGGGCAGGTGGACAAGGCCACGCTCTTCCAGAAGACGGCTGGAAAACCACGAAGGCAACCCTGAGAGATGCCGGGCACTGGGCATTCGGTCCCAAAAGCCATCTGGGGGCTAAGAACGGAGTGGTAGTGACGGCCAAGGGATGAAGCAGACCCACACAAGGAGGACCTCCAGACCTGTGCCGTCCGCCTGGGTGGACAGATGCTGGGCACCCAGCACTACCCATCTGCGTGACCCAGCTCCAGTGCTCGGGATAGCCAATAGCTGTTTATTGAAAGAAGCAAGGGTGGGGGGCGGGCACCACCCTCAGGCCTGGATGTGGCTCTTGGCGCTAAAGGCCAGGTAGTAGATCACTAAGCCGATGGCTGCGGCCAGGACTTCGGTGGAGACCCAGGGCCCATTCCAGGTACCCTGCAAGAAAGGAGACCACGGTCATTCCCACGAGGACAGACAGGAGAAGGGGCCAGCCACTCCAGGGGGCACAAAGACATGCCGGCCACCATGGCGCAGCCCCCAGTGCCCCCTCAAAGGCATGGCTGGCCGTGTGCCCCACCCCTTCCCCTGGGCGGAGCCAGTCCCCTCCTCCAGCTCACCCGATGGTCAACGCTGACCGTGAATAGAGGTGGGATGACGGAAACGTCCTCATTGTTTCTCTGAGCCTGCGAGGGAGGTGCTGGGGTCAGGGGGCTCTGCCGGGTGGGCTGGTCGAGGCAGAACCCTGCCCAGAGTCATGGGAGAAGAGAGGTGGGCAAAGGAAAGAAGGCATGGGGCTAGCTGGGGTGGGTGGTCAGGTAGGAAGGTGCCTACCCACCCATCCTGCTGAGTTGGGGAGGGGGATGGGGACTACAGTGGGGAGACAGCTGTGGCTGTGGGCGGCACCCTCTCTCCAATAGGCCTGGCGGTGGGGGGCTTTGGGGACACTCACCTTCCTCAGGAGGCTGTAGGACTCCTCATCAAAGAACCGGACCTCATAGGTGCCCGCATGGGCACTCTTGTGATCTAGGCTCCAGGAAACCTGGGTGGGGTGCATTTGGCAAGGGGTGGATACAACGGACGTGGTGCTGCTATCAGCGCACAGAGTCCAAGAACCTCAGCTCAGCTGGCCAAGTTGCCCAGGGCTTCAGGCTATGCCTGTGAACAGGTGGCCTCCCCCGGAAGTGATGACCACAGCCTCCCTTACCTGGTAACGTCCCACGTCCTGGCCCCGGGTGACAGGAAATTGTTTTCCACTGACGTCAGCATAGAGAGCCATGTTCTGGGGGAGCGGATAAAAAGAGAGTCACCTTCTCCCCTCTCGGGCGGTCTGTGAGGTTCTGCTGTGCCCATGGCTTGGGGTAGGAAGGCTGCCAGGCAGAGTCAGGGACTGAGCTGGGTCTGGTAGGGGAACCAGATGAGAACCCTGGGGGCCAGTCTCTCCATGTTGGTCTTGCTCCTTGGGGACCACACCTCCCCACTGGCCTGGCCTCCCTAATCCACAGCAAGCCTGTTAGCTGAACAGGGGCAGGATGACTGAAGTGTTCTCCTTTCTTCTCTGAGTCTGAAAGCGGGTACTGGGATCAGGGGCGCCTAAGGAGCTGCCTAAGGAAGGTGGTACCTAAGAAGACCCAATTTCCATCTTTCTTTGGGCCTTCAGGTTGCAGGGGCCCAGGCCAGGGCTGCTCAGTTTTTAAATCACCAAACAACCATGCAGACACACGTTTTGGCCAAGAGCAACCAGAAAGGGGATATAGGAGCCCTGGAGCTGAGCCTGGCTCTGTCCCTTCCCATGAGCACGCTTTCCAGACACAGCAAAGTGTCTACCTACACTGCTGCGTTGGGGAGAAGCAGACCTGGCCGGTGAGCTGGATGTTCTTTAATCACCTGTTAGAATCTGGCCTGCCTGTGCCCCAATCTCACCTTCAGCCTGGCAGTGAAACCCTGATGCTTGCTCTGTCCTTGTGGAGCCCCAGGCTCCCTGCCCACCTCTGCCCTCACCCTCTTGGCTGAAGCCCTGCTGCCTCACCTGGACCCTGTTCTTGCAAGTCAAGGAGATCTCCACGATGAAGACAGTCTCAGTAGAAATGACAGCATCCGAGGTGGTATAGTAGGAAGGGGTGATCTGGGGCTCCACACAGGCCTCTGCTGCAGGAAGGGGGCAGAGAGGGAGGGATAAGGCCTGGTTTTCGCTCACTGAGTTGTGGTGCAGAAGGGATCACCCTACCCCACTTCCCAGAGCTTATCTACTAAAGACACAATGGGCCCTTTGGACCCTGACAGGTGGAGTCTGGGAGACAGATCCAAATGACGAATCGGAAGTGCAGGGGTCAAGAGGAGTGGGGTGGCCTTTAAGAAAGGCAGAGAAGGGGATGGGAAGACTTTGTACAGGTGGAACCTTGATGTCAGGGCAAAAGAACAGGTGAGCATGTTGGGGGGTGGGGAGTGCACTGCATGAATTCACTGCACAACTCGACTCTGTGCCTGGACCTACAGACAGAAAAGCCACGCAATGGTTTAGGGATGCAGCCTACCCTGGAACACCCCAAAAGCCCAGGGCCAGGCTGACCTCAATTCAGAGCCACAAGGCCCTAGCTAGTTGACTGAAGGCATGATCTGCAGACATAAAAGCACAAAAAACTATGTGGGCTTCCCACATGAAGGGTCTCTGCCCCAGACAGTTGACAGAAAACCAAGACTGGCCCCAGTGGTTTCCGAGGAAAGGAAATGGGCGATCTGGGTCCAAAAGCACAACTTGTTCCCCTGCTGCCCTCAGAGAAAGGACACACCCTCACCATCTCCACACTGCTAGAGGCCACAGGGAAGGAAAGGTATCACCGAAACCACCAACCACCAGGCGCCAACTGCTCTAACACGGTGTCAGGGCAGGGCCATGATTTGGGCTGAGGCTTGGGATTAAACAGTGGGAGGAAAATGCCTGGGAACGTCGGTGGGAAGTGGTTCTCGGGAGCCATGTTCCCCAGATGCTTCCACACTTTGCCAAGTTTGACCTTCTTCCTCCAGACACGGGAAAGCACAGTTTCATAGTCAGGTTTGTCCTTTCCAGGCATCATCGCCTAGAGCCTGGGGAGTTCCTGAGAAGCCAGTGACCAGGATGCGGGGGTGGCCACTGAGACTGATGAAACACTCCAGGCATCAAGGGCGCTGGCCTGAAGTAGGGCAGGTAAAGTGAAAGTGCTCAAAGTGGCCCTAACCCAGTCCAGACCCCCAGGCCCAATGTGGGCTCCTGGAAGGACCTCCTTCTAAACACACTTCTGGACTCCGGTGTCAGTTATAACTCAGCCAGGCCACTGTTAACAACCTCTCGAGAATGTGAAGCCATCTGACTCTGCTGAAAAACCCTATATGGATCCAACAAGGCCTTAGGGGACACAAACCAAGCGTCTGATTTAGACACTCATCTTTCCCTCTTCAGGTCTTCTCTAACTCACCTGCACTCTGGGCCCCTCTGCCTGGACCGTCCCTGCTTCCTCGCTTCACTCAGAGCCCCATTCCTAGGGAGGCCTGACCCCACATCGGGTCAGGTGGTTCCTCTCCACCTGCCCAGTTTCTCGCTCTGATCACACTACGCTGCAGAGCTTCACTCCTGTCCGACCGCCCCCCCGCCCCACTGCCAAGACCGGAGGCTCTAGGAGTGGCGGCAGGGACGAGTGTCACTTTCCCTGCTGGAGCTGGGGCCAGGCGCACAGAAAGGCTCTGGGAGTCTTCCTCACTGGAGCAGATGGGGCACAGATCAGGCTGTTTCTTCCAGCAGCTCAGCTGCTGGGTGAACGTGTGTAGTGCACGAAAGCGTAGTAGCCTCGGCCGCCGCGACCAGAGACCACCTGCCTCTCGGAGGGAGAAGGCCCAGACCCCCGCTCTGCTAGCACCCGTCCTCCCCCGACGCACCACCAGTCGTGGGTGAGAGGCTCGCCAGAAAAGAACTCCGGCCAGGCCGCTACCTGAGCAGCAGGAGAGGCCGGACAGCAGCAGTAGCGCCAGAGCGCCGAGAGATGCCAGCGCCGCCATCGCCTGTTCTCTGCCAAGGAAAAAAGAGAGCAGTTAGCCTGAACACGAGGAGCAGACGAGGAAGCGCGACGCGTCAGCGGCCGCCGCAGCCAATCGGGCGCCAGCGGGCTGGGCGGGCCTGTGACGTCACCGGCGGTACTGACGTGTCTCCTCCCCGGACCAGACGCCCAGCCGGCTGCCCCCCAAAGATGGCGGCGGCGGCGCTTCTGGCGCCGGAAAAAGGCGTGGGAAACCGGCGCGGCCGCGTGCGTGCGCACTGCCGGGACCACGCCCCCTCCCGAGACGTCGCGCTCTGCCGAGCTCTCGCGAGAGCGGCAGCTGCGTGACGGAACCTGAAGCTGTCTTCACGTTCTGTCATGGCGCTGAAGGTGGCGACGGCCGCGGTCGGCGCTGCGAAGGCAGCGCTCAGGCCGGCCCTCCTCTGGCGTCCTTGGGAGGTGAGAAGGAGGAGCGGCCCATGGGGACAGCCGCCGCGCTCGCTAAGAGGTGTTCGCACCTCGGCGGGGTTAGGCGGGCTGCCGCCGCGCTCGGACAGTTCTGGAGCCAGATTGGCTGCGGGCCTCGCGAGGGGAGGGGAGAGTGTCGCGGCCTGGGGTTGATTGGCCACCTCCGCTGTCAGTGAAGAGGTTAGCTGAAGTTGACCCTGGTCTGGCGCTCCAGGAGTCTGCATATGGTGGCAGGGGAGCTCCCGGCGAGCGAGGGGCAGTGTCACTTTCCAGTGTCCTTGTGGGAACCCTCGTGAGGCGGTCGCGTGTCCGGCCCGCCTTCCTCTTGCCCTCTTGGGAATCCGTTCCCGGCTGCCTGTCCTCCTCGGGTTTCCCTCTTATGAACCGCTTTGCCACCTCTCCCTGTGGAGGTGGCCAATCGGATTTTCGGTGCCCCAGGGGCTTTCCCCACCCTGCAGGCGCTGGGAATGGAAAGGAGCTAGGATTCCTGAAGCTGGCAGCGGGTCGGGAGGCCGCGAGGGCTTTGCTTCCGTCGTTCTCCGTTTAGGATCTTGCTTATTAGGGTCTGATTCCTCTTGTGACACACTTCCATGAGGATAGTATAGTCCCTAGGTGGGTGGGAAGTCCGAAGCGTCATCAAGTCAGGACTGGCCCGGAGGGATGAGAGGTCTGACCTACCTCTCTGGGCTCCAGTTCCCCCTCGCTGTCAAAGGATCCACCCACCTCTGACCTTCCAGAACTCAGTGACTTTGCTGACACTCCTTGTCACATCTCCTGGCATGCTTTCCCCCTCTGAGCCCTTGGGAAGGCTGGCCTGTCACAATTTCTGCCTTATTAAATTCTGTTTAAAGTGCTGACTTCTCCCACTTGCTGGCGAGAGGCTTTCCAAAGGTCCCTGGCTGCTAGGCACTTGCAGGATCTTGGTGGGGACATTTGTCTCCTTTCTGACCTCCCCTGTGTGTATACTTGTGTTCATATTGGGGCAGGGATGAGGAGACTGAAAGGCTGCTAGCTGAGCAATGCCTTGCCCTGAGACTGGTTGTCTTGGGTATGGGAACCTTTAGAGATGAAGCCCAGATCTTTGGTCCCAATTAGTGGGACCTTATAGGAAAACATGCAGACACCATTGGTACTTGATCCAACAGAAACATGCTGAAGAGAGAAACTTCACTAAAGTGCAGCACGGGAGCCCTTTGGTTGAACCACATACCATTCTGGACTGCTTTCTGTGGTACTATCAAAGGACAAGTCCACCTTGTCAAAGTCTGTTGACTGTCAAAGTCAACAGTCCACCTTCCTGCTTGATGAACAAGCTGGAGACCAATGCGTGTATCACATCTTGCCTGGTCCTGGGGTCCTTTGATGGGTAGGTTCACAGAATCTCTGTAACTCCCTGAAGGAAGGGGCCTGAGTCTGTCCAGAGCAAGGTCAGGAAAGTCGCTATCCCGAGAGCTCTCCAGGTCTTTGGCCAAAGCTGGATGGAACATGTAGCATTGGGACCAGGTGAGGGAGAGGTTCAGCCCTGGTGGTAGTCATGGGACCCACGGTCTGGTGGGGTGTCCTTGCCCAGTGTGAGTGGTGGCTTACAATCATGGCCAGGATACCTGCCCTGTGCTCGTGGGCCTCAGAGCTGGAACCCAGGAGGAATTAGCTGGCAGCCATAGGGGCCAGCCCAGCATCTCTTCATTGGTCACCAGCCTTGCACACTGGCCTGAGGGGCTGCTGAGGTGAAGGGGATCCCTCATCCCTCAGCTTGGGACTGAACAGCTTGCATACCTCTTTTTGCTTAATGCTTCCAGTGGTCAGATAAAGTAGGCACCCCTGTTCCATGGATTTCAGGTAAGGGGAAGAAGCTTAGCAAGGTTAAGCTGTTTGCCACCAGGAGTAGTAGACAGAGGCTTTGGACTGAGGTCTCCCTAGCCTCAGAACCTGCCTTATCTTTCTTCATCTTCTGATGTGTTCATTTCAGTCAAGAAATGTGTTTCATGTCCCAGCTCTGAACTAGGCATTCTCCTGGGTCCTGGGGTGATAGCAGGAGATCAGACAGACATGGCATCCACTATGTGGGGCTCAAGTGTTGGAGAAGGAGTGAGGCAGCTGTAACCTAGGGAGATAGGGATTGGGAGGAAGGGAGCGAGTAGGGCTTTGTAGCCCAGGGGAACCAGCAGCTCAGCAGCCTTAGGGCATCAGGGAAGGCTTCCTGGAGGAAGGGCAATCTAAGCCACCATGTGCAAGTTTGTGTTGAGAGCCTATAGACAGATGAATCTAGATACTGACAGTTGCTAGAAGGCAAACAGAAAAACCCCAAGTGTGTATCTGGCTCCTGATCCGGGGGCTCTGTGGATCAGTAGAAACCCAAGGAGCATCTTGTCCTGTTCTTCACCCCCTTCCTAACTCCTGTGCCTACAGAGCTTTGTGCAAGTGGGTACCTTGTGAATACCAGCCGGAAAGACCCAGATGGGATGGTTAGCCTCTGCCTGAGCTTTCTAGACTCCTAGCAGGAAGGCAAGGCTCTTTGAAAAATGGCCACGGTGACTCTGTCATTGGCTGGCATCCTCTGCTGCTCCCCCAGCAGGCAAGTGGCAGGGCATCCCTGAGTGAGAAGGCGGGACTGTGGCTTGGTCCCCACCTCTTTGCATTGAGGGGCATGCAGGTGGGGCCCCCAGGAAGGAAAGTGTGGGCCTATAGCCCCCTGTGGCAGGAGCTGGGACCTGGGCTTCTTCCTCCAGGGAAGTGTGGGGACTCCAGATGGGTCCCTCTGAGCACCTGTCCATTTGACTCAAGTGGCTGTTGCTCTGAAGCTCTCAGGCGTATCACTGACATGACCACATGTGGCCGTTGCGAGTGGGGGGTTGGGGACATCTGTCATCCATGCAGGCCATGAAGCAGCTTTGCAAACCTTTATGAAGGCCTTGATTAAGGATGAGCATCTGCTCTTCTGATCCTAGAGGGCTATTCCCTATGCTGCCAGTAGGGCTCATCTCTGGCTGGGCAGAGGGCTGGGTGCTATCTTTTCCCCTCTGGTTTCCATGATCCAGATCGTCGCCATGTTTTGACCATATGCTGCTTTTGTAATAAGGAGACGTAATGGAAAAAAAGGATGTGGATGATGGTCATGGTAGCCCTGTGGTTTGCTATTACGGTTTCCGTTTTGTACTGTGTTGAGTGTGCCAATTTCTGCTCACTCAACAGACCTCTCTGAGCAGGAAAAATTTTCTGAGAAAACTCAGAAACAGCAAAAGGTGAGGAGGGAAGCATCAACATTTCTGTAAATGTCTTTGGACAGTGAAAGCTCCAGAACCACAGGGCCTGTCTGGGCATGGTGGGGGTGCCCACCTCCCCTGCCAGGAGCTCGGCTGACCCTGGCCAACTTGACAACAACCATTTTCTTTCTTTTTTTTTTTTAATTTTTTATTTATTTATTTATTTTTTATCACAACCATAGTGTATCTTTTTTTTTTTTTTTTTTACATGTATTCCCCATCCCGGTCCCCCCTCCCACCTCCCTCTCCACCCAATCCCTCTGGGTCTTCCCAGTGCACCAGGCCCGAGCACTTGTCTCATGCACCCAACCTGGGCTGGTGAACTGTTTCACCCTAGATAATATACATGTTTCAATGCTGGACAACAACCATTTTCATCTGGGTTCTCTCTGGCAGGTTCTAGGTGCCCACGAGGCCCCCCGGAGGAGCTTCTCAGTAAGTAACCTGCCCTAGTGCGTATGGGCACCTGTCTGCCTGTACATGTGTGCAGAGGCGTGGGTGTGCAGATGCGTGCGGATGGGTTTGTGGGCACCTGGGGTGCAGAGGGGTGTGTATGTGGGCATGTGTGTGTGCCACGCCTCTTGGCTCCATCCCCTCCATGTCTCCCCTGAGGCGCAATCTCCACCTCTCCTTCCCTCCTCTCCTTCCCTCCTCTCCTCTCCTCCTCCCCTGAACCCTGGGGGCAAGGCCCAGTTTTCCGGGCCCTGCTTTGTTCTTCTAACCTCGACTGATCTGTGTCTTCTTCCTTCCTGTCCCCCGCTCTAGCAACAAACAATTGTGAGTATCCTTCCGGTCTGCCTGTTTGTCAGGTTGGGGGCTTTTAGTGGCTTTGGGGTTGACCCAGGTCCAGGCGGAGGTGGGACCGGCTTCTGTGGTTGCCCTCCTGACATGGGGGAACTGCAATCCCCCATGAGCAGCACTGCACCGTGGGTGGGGCAGGGCATGTGGTTGGGATACCCTGAGCTGGCACCTCCCAATTGGCTGGCCCACTGGGTCAGGGCTTGAGGGAGGAAGGGAACTGAAGGCCTGCCCTCCTCCCCCTCCCTTCCAGCCCCCGTCAGCAAAGTATGGTGGGCGGCACACGGTGACCATGATCCCGGGAGATGGCATTGGGCCAGAGCTCATGCTGCACGTCAAGTCGGTGTTCAGGTACAGAGCCCCCTGGGCCCAGCCAGGGGGACCCTGAGAACTGGGCACCACAAGGGTAGCGAGCCAGTGGTGGGCAGCCCCTTTTTCTAGTGCCTGCCCTCCTGCCAGGCTGAGCCAGGTGAGGGGAAGGGTGGAACCTGAGCGGCCCATGCCGTCATGGAGTGTCAGGGCACCCCCATCAGCTGGCTCAGTCTCTCCTTGGCCAGAGCCCGGGCAGAGTGGGCAGCAGCAGAGGAGAGACCCCCACACTCCTTGGTAGGGGCCTGGGGTCACCATCCTGATCCCGCTCTGCCACAGGCATGCATGTGTGCCTGTGGACTTCGAAGAGGTGCACGTGAGCTCCACCGCCGATGAGGAAGACATCCGCAATGCCATCATGGCCATCCGTCGGAACCGCGTGGCCCTGAAGGGTGAGACTCCCTTGTGAGCTCACCCTTGTCCCTGGGCGCCCGTGGGTGCTGCACTTCGGTGGTCTTGGTGTCTCTGGCTGCTGCGGGAGCCTGCCCAGGCATGGGCTTCCTCCCGCCCGGGGCCACCCTCTCTGCTGGAGTCAACTGTGGCTCTCAGGGTCTTCCTTCACACACCAGGTGTCACACCGATGCAGGTTTAAGCCCCCACAGGTGGCCTTGGCCCCAGTCGGCACAGCTGTGGAAGTTACAGCTGGGAGCTTGACCTTTGCTGAGTGTTCCTTGGTTGGGTCCAGCTCCTTAAACTGTTTCCATCACTCATTTTGCACACTTGCTAATTACGTGCTCTATAAGAGCAGTGAGCGGGCTGAGACGAAGGTAGAGACGCAGGCCCTGGCTGTCGCCTGGAGGGGCTGACATGCCAATGATAGGGTGCCTGAGGCAGCCCTGGGGGGACCTGAGAAGGGCCCCCTCGACTTGGCATCCTCTGACTGCCTTCTCTCAGGGGCACCTGGCCTTCTGGGTGCCCTGGTTCCAGCCAAGGTGAAGCCGTGGTCTTTTACAGGCAACTCCTGCCTGCCCCCAAGCTGGAGCTCTTGTGGCACCTTGACACAAGGCCTGGCATGAACCCTGGCCAAGTTGCCCTTGCAGCTTGATCCTGGCCTTGCCAAGCCTCACCCAGGGTCTAGCAAGACCTTCTGGCTAGCTGCCAGCTGTTTTCATCCCTTTCTTCATTCAATATTTATCGATCGTCTGTTACATGCCAGGAAGCTATCAGTGAACCCAACACACATCCATCCGCCCTCATGGTGTTTTGACTGCAAGTGTGCTAGGGTGTTCTTTGAAGCCCTGCTCCCACCAGCTCAAATGTGGGAGTACACCAGAGCCAGGGCCCCTCTCCAGCCTGCTGGTCTTGTTTCTGTCCTGCAGGCAACATTGAAACAAACCACAACCTGCCCCCATCCCACAAATCGCGAAACAACATCCTTCGGTGAGAGCCAAGGGTGCAGCATGGGTGCTGGGTGGGGATGGTGGTGGCTGCGGCCAGCTGATCTGATTTGGTGCGCCTGCAGCACCAGCCTGGACCTCTATGCCAATGTCATCCACTGTAAGAGCCTGCCAGGTGTGGTGACCCGGCATCGGGACATTGACATCCTCATCGTCCGGGAGAATACAGAGGGCGAGTACAGCAGCCTGGAACACGAGGTGAGTGGGGCATGGGGGGCACCTGGCTAGGCCTGTGGTCAGGAAGGCCATGCCTGGAGGGAACCTCATGCCAGAGGGCAGGCTCTGACAGGATATGGGTCTCCGGACCCTCCTCACCTTCCCAGAGTGTGGCAGGTGTGGTTGAGAGCCTGAAGATCATCACCAAGGCCAAGTCCCTGCGCATCGCTGAGTACGCCTTCCAACTGGCCCAGGAGAGCGGGCGCAAGAAAGTGACAGCCGTGCACAAGGCCAACATCATGTATGTCCCCCACGCCACACCTCCACGCTGGGGCCTGGGCCTGCTCTCAGTGCACATGTCGGAGGGAGGTGGAATGGGATTCTGCCCACTCTGCAGACCGAACTGGTGGTTCTGTGGCACCCGTGAATCCCGTCCCTCTGGCGGGCAGTGGCTGTGGCCAAGCCAGTGTCCTGCATTCCCCTAGGAAACTGGGTGATGGGCTCTTCCTCCAGTGCTGCAGGGAAGTGGCAGCCCGCTACCCCCAGATCACCTTCGAGAATATGATCGTGGACAACACCACCATGCAGGTAGTTGGGCTGCCATGCTGCACAGGCCCCTGCCCTGGGTGCATGGGCCTACTGGTGCTCCAACTCCTGACTGCTCCTCCCTGTCTCACAGCTGGTGTCCCGGCCCCAGCAGTTTGATGTCATGGTGATGCCCAATCTCTATGGCAACATCGTCAACAACGTCTGTGCCGGGCTAGTTGGGGGCCCTGGCCTTGTGGCTGGGGCCAACTATGGCCATGTGTATGCCGTGTTTGAGACGGTGAGTGCCACCAGCGATGCCAAGGCCATGGGCCTTTGTGAACTAGAGCTCAGTTCAGTCACTCAGTCATGTCTGACTCTTTGCGACCCCACAGACTGCAAGCATGCCAGACCTCCCTGTCCATCACCAACGCCCAGAGCTTGCTCAAACTCATGTCCATCGAGTCAGTGATGCCATCCAACCATCTCATCCTCTGTTGTCCCCTTCTCCTCCTGTCCCCAATCCCACCCAGCATCAGGGTCTTTCCCAAATGAGTCAGTTCTTTGCATTAGGTGGCCAAAGTATTGGAGCTTCAGCTTCAACATTAGTCCTTCCACTGAATATTCAAGACTGATTTCCTTTATGATGGACTGGTTGGATCTCCTTGCAGTCCAAGGGACTCTCAAGAGTCTTCTCCAACACCACAGTTCAAAAGCATCCATTCTTTGGCTCTCAGCTTTCTTTATGGTCCAACTCTCACACCCATATGTGAAAGTTAAAGTGGGAAAAAAAAAAAAAAGAAAGTTAAAGTGGAGTCGCTCTGTTGTGTCTGACTCCTTGCGACCCCATGGACTGTAGCCTGCCAGGCTCCTCTGTCCATGGGATTCTCCAGGCAAGAACACTGGAGTGGGTTGCCATTTCCTTCTCCAGGGGATCTTCCTGACCCAGGGATCGAACCTGGTCTCCATCATTGCAGGCAGACTCTACCATCTGGGCCACCAGGGAAGTCCACATACATAACTACTGAAAAAACCATAGCTTTGACTAGACGGACCTTTGTCGACAAAGGTCGGCAAAAAACTATAGTTCATACATTTTCTAGTTCAGTCATTGAAAGTAAGCGATTTAGTAGTTTCTAGAATATTCAGAATTGTGCAGACATCCTCACTAATTCTAGAACATTTTCATCACCATAGAGAGAAATCTTGTAGGCCCTCGCCCTCTGCGATAGCCCACGCTATAGAGTGTGCTTCTCTCTGAATCTGAATAAAGCCACTTCTTACTTACAAAAAAAAAACCAAAAAAACAAGAAATCTGGTAATTGTGGCCAGCATTCTCTGTCCCCTACCCCCCAACCCCTGGCACCAATCTCATCTGCTCAGTCTCTGGATTTGCCTGTTCTGGACAGTTCACACCAATGCAGGGTACCCTCGACATTCTTACATTCACCAGTCCCCTCCTTTTTCATATCACCTCTTCCAGGCTACAAGGAACACAGGGAAGAGTATTGCCAATAAGAATATCGCCAACCCCACGGCTACGCTGCTGGCGAGTTGCATGATGCTCGACCACCTCAAGTAAGTGGCTTCTCAGTGCCCGGCCATCAGCCCCCAGACTGCATCCAGAGGACTGAACTCTGTTCTTCCTCCTCAGGCTCCACTCCTATGCCACCTCCATCCGCAAGGCTGTCCTGTCATCCATGGACAATGAAAACGTGAGCCCGCCCCCAAACCCCAACCCCCGCCCAGGTTGAGCTGATAGGCCGCCCGAGGGGCTGGAAATGGTGAACTAGCGCCACCACGAGGAGGGTGACACCAGGTTGGCTGGGCCTTTTGGGCCTTAGCTGGTACCACGGCCCGCCTGGTGACCCTTCTAGCTCCTGCAGGCCGCAGAGTGTAGTGGGCAGCCCTGGGCCGCCTGCAGGCCAAGGCTCAGGGATTGGCCGGATCCTATCATGTGCCCAAGCTTGCCTGTCTCCTGTAGATGCACACCCCAGACATTGGGGGCCAGGGCACCACGTCGGAAGCCATCCAGGACATCATCCGCCATATCCGCGTCATCAATGGCCGGGCAGTGGAGGCCTAGACTGTCCCCGGGACTGTGGAGGCCCACTTTTCAGACCTTCTTGGCGCCTCCATCACCCTGGCTGGCTCAGCGGGCGGACCCAGAATAAACCCACTTCCTCCCCAGCCCTTGGTGGCGTGCTTTTGTCACTATGGACGCGGGTGTTTCAGGTCACACTTTATTAAGAAAAGAAACAGCACACTTCCCATTCAGAGGGCCCCTCTGTGGGGGTTGGGGGGCAGAACACATTCTGAAAGGCCAGGGCCTGGCCCCAGCAGATCCCTCTGTCCTGCCCCGCCCAGGTGGGTATGAGAAAGCTCCCACTCAGCAGGGTGGGCAGGAACTGTCCTGCTTTCCCTGAAGGCACTGGGGGCCAGGGGGTTGGGAGGGAGCCGGGCCCGCCCCAAGCTGCCCAGGGTGCCCGCGGGGCCTAGGGATTGAGCCAAGGGTGCTGCAGGCAGTCGGCTGCGCTGGCCCGCTTTTCGGGGATGTATTCCATCATGGGCAGCAGGAAGGCGCTGAACTGCGTGGCCTGCTCCAGGGGCCACTCATACTTCTCCATGAGTACCTCGTACAGACCCCAGTGCTTGAGGTTGTGGATATGCCGCAGCTCCCCTGGGGGCAGGCCGGCACACTGCAAGTCAGCCTCCGCCTGGGAGGCCTGTCATCTGACACCCCTCACTGGCCCCCAAGTTCCCACCCTGCCTTTCCATCCAGGTGGCCCCACCTCTCCGGTTGAAGAACTCCCGGGAATAGCGGCCCGAGAGGGCGAAGGCTGGGGGGATGTCTCCTAGCAGCTCCACGATGTGGGCGATGTGGTCTGTGGACAGAAAGGGAGCCAGGAGGTCGGCCAGGCAGCCGGGAGGTCCCAAAGCTGGACCCTAGGGTTCGCCACCTCCTACCCTCATCACGACTGTAGTCTTCTCCCGAGTGTGGTTCGAACAGGTAGTCACCAGTGGCCAGCTCAAAGGCCTGGAAAGGGAAGAGGGTAAGGTGGTTCGCCCCGGTGAGTCTGCCTGGGTGGGGGATAGCTGCAAGCAGACATACCATGCATGCCGTGCTCCAGATATCAGCCGGGGGCCCATACTCGGCGCCGATCAGCACCTCCACAGCCCGGTACTGCCGCGTCTGGATGTCCTCGGTGAAGTGCTTGTGCTGGAGGCAAGGCAAGCCCAGGGGAGGGGCTGGGGCCAGGGCTGGCCTGCCCTTTAGTGGCCCCCCACGTGTCTCCCACCTCCTGTGGGCCCATGCACCCCAAGAGCATCATGGGGCTCGCTCTGGGCATCAGGGGCCCCCCTTGTCCTAAGAGGGCCTGGCAAGGGGACCTGAGACTGAGGCCGGCCCCTGCACCATGGCCGTCCACACCCGCCCGTGGGCCCAGTCCTGCCAACCAGGTGGGAGAGGTGCTGTTTTGGGCTTAGCCGTGGGACTGCAGCCTGAGGCAGGTGTGGGGGTCTGGTCAAGCCCTGGGGACCGGCGTCGTTCATAACAGGGTGCCTGCTCATACCACCCAGCAGGCGTTGCCCAGGTCTGCGATCTTGATCTTGATCTTGTCTGCATTTTGGGGCTCTAGGGGGTTCACCAGGAGGTTGGAGGCACCAAACGGTGCTGGGGAAGCAAGAGAAGGGAGAATGGCTGAGCTGGTCAGACACCGGCCTGGCCCTGCCCACTGCCCACTGGCCTGGTCCCACTTACTGCTGGGGGAGAGGAGGCCGCCGGCCTCCCGCTGGTTGGATGAGCCTGAGAGGATGGAGCACGACGCGGGGGAGAAGAGGGAGCCCGAGAAGCCTGAGGTCTGGGAGCCTGGGCTGAGGCTTCGGTTGCCCCCAGGGGCCGGGGACGAAGAGGCTGGTGAGGGGTCAGCCCCTGCGCCGCCCAGGTGGCAACCAGAAGAGGACGTGGAGCCGCTGCCCGCCTCGAGTCTGCAGCCAGAGTCTGGGGAGACAGGCAGAGGTGCTGAGTGGGCAGCTGGCCCCGTGGCTGCCGCCAGGGGGCCCGCTCCCTGCTCCCATCCTCACCCTCGGCCTGGGCCGCGGCCTCCATGGCCTCCAGCTTCTGCAGGTCACGCAGCCGCTCCTCCAGCAGCCGCTTCTGCTGTTTCCGCTTGCGCCGCATCTTCTTCCTCTTGTTTTTAGACAGCTTCCCCGTCTGCCGAGAGAGCCAGGGTCAGCCCGGGGGTGCCTGGAAACCAGCTGCAGAGCAGCCCTAGCCTGTCCACGGAGCCCCCCACAGGGGACAAGGTCTGTGGGTCCCAGGACTCCATGGCCACCAGGACGTGGTCCTGCCACCTCAGCCACCTCCTGGGTCCCCTCCTGCCCTCCACTCTCAGAGCTGGAGGCCAAGGAGGAACCAAGAAGCCTCTGGCTGGGCACCAGCCTCCCCTGGGGCCAGCCGTAAACACATTGTCCTTCTGTGGAGGTGGTGGTGAGCCCCAGTGGCCACTCAGGGCCGTTTAGAGCTTGTGGCCCCATCTGTATCGCCCTCATCCAGGCCACCTGGCCTTTTGGAAATGCCCCTGCAGGAGTGTTGGGCAGCGGGGAGAGTTAGGGAGAAGGGGGAACCAGAGGCTAAGAAGTGAGCTCTGAGCAGATGGGAAAATGAGGCCTAGGAAAAGAGGCAGCCCAGCTTACCAAGACCTCCTGGGGGGCGGTGCTGACTGTGGTGGAGCAGGCAGAGCCCGGAGGAAGAGAGAGGAACCGAGACTCAGGCTGGGGCTGAGGCCCACAGGCCCCACCCCAGCCCCATGCAGGATCTGGGTACCTGTGGAGCGGGATGGGGGTGGTGCCCCTGACTGTTGCCACTCTGTGGCCTCAGCGGCCAGGCGCCGGATGTAGGCATCCCCCACACACAGCAGGATGTTCTCTGGCTTGATGTCCGTGTGGATGATCTTGCACTTGGTGTGGAGGTAATCCAGGCCATGCAGCACCTGGAGAGAGCCAGTCCTGAAGTCCACCCACCCTTCCCTGGCTGCCTGCCACAGGGCTCTTCCTGCCGGACTCAGGAAGAGCTCACCTGCCTCACGATGCTCTTCACACAGGGCACGGGCAGGCCCTGGTAGTTGGACTTGATGATCCACTTGAGTAGCTGGTGGCCAAGGACCTCCAACACCATGCACACATCTGGGGCCAGGAGTGAAGGGCAGCTGCTGGGCGTGCAGCTGGGGCCCAGGTCCTGCCCACCCTCAGCTGGGGTGGGGGTGCCCCGAGGCTCAGGCAGCATAGAGCTGGGTCTGGGAGGTCCTGTATCACCACCGTCCCAGTGGTGCTTTAGTGGCCCTGTCACTCTCTGGTGTGCCAGTTGGCACCATACTTTCTGTGGTCTTCCTAGGGATAGGGCACTGGAGGAGTAGACAGAGGTTTCTCAGAATAACCCCAGTCCTGTGCCCAGGTCTACCCAAGAGCCTATTGACAGCCCCTCTGAAAGGGAAGGCACACAGAGAGGGTTCCTCCCACTTGCAGGTAACCTAGCCATGTGTTGCCAATGCCAACCTGGTTATCCGCTCCACCTCCCACCGCCAGGCCCAGACACAAACCCCTGAAGTGGTGGGGGTATTTCATAGGCTAGTGTCGTTGGAAGAGATAAACCACCCATCACACAGATCAGCAAACTGAGGCCCCTGGAGCCAGAAGGCACCAGCCAGTTAGCTCCTGCTGAGATGCCACACTTGCTTGCTCAGCCTGCAAAGGATACGGACTCCATTAACCCCTGAGATCCTGAAGTCATCGATGAGCTGGACAATGGTTTCTCTTTTGGGGTCACTGGGGTCACTGTCTCGGACCTGCATTAAAACCCAAGGGGCCACAGATGGCTTCAACCTGCCCCTCACCGGCTGCTCCCCTGGGGCGGGTGGCCCCTTCGGCCCTCCTGTCCCACTGTTCTTAGGCCTCACTGGAATAAAAGCTTCAGGCCCGCCCTCCGGGTCCTCCCCCTCAGCTGAGCCAGCTGGAGCCTGACCCTGTGGGCACCCCGCCCCGGCCCGCAGAGCCCGGCAGGCCTTGCACCCACATTGCCAGGCCCCAGGCGGCTCCCAGGGAGCTGGGAGTGGGTAGGGGAGGCGCCTCACACATTTCAGGAGCTTGATCTCATCTACAGCTGTCTCCGTATAATGCCCCGCGCTCTTCACCACTTTGAGAGCCACGAAACGCTTGCGCCTGCAACACCGAGACCCGCGTCGGCCATGGGCACCAGGCAGACACATGGGGCCCTCACCATAGCCGCAGGCATGCCCAGGGGCAGGATCCCAGCTGGCATGGAGCCCGGGGTTGGGGGAGGTGGGTGGGTGAGGGAAGACTCACTGTATGTCCCAGCAGAGCCAGACGGTGGAGAAGTGGCCCCAGCCCAGCTTGCGCACCACGTGGTACCGCCCATTGAACAGGTCCCCGATTTTCACAGGGTAGTAGCCTCCTGGGGAAGGGAGCCCACAAAGGCCGCTGTGGGTGGTGCCTTGCCCCTGCCCTGGCACAGCGCAGCCCTGCCGGGCCCCCCTGGACCACGTGGGCGGGCTCCGGGCCCCCTCCTCCTCCTCCCCAGAGCCTCACCCTTGCAGTAGTCCTTGGGATCTTCCTGCTCCTCGTCATCGGAGCCCAGCAGCCCCTGCAGCATCTGCGCGGGGGCGGCAGGGGCCAGTTCGGAGCCAGATGATTCGGGCCCGCAGGAGGCCTGCGAGCTGTGGGTGGGGCGGGCAGGCAGTGAGCGCGCGGGCCGCCAGGGGCCCCGGGCAGCCTGGCCCAGCCTTACCTGCTGCTGCTGTCGCTGTCGCCACCGCCGCCGCCGCTCGCGCTGGCGCTCATTCTGGCTGCGCTGCCTGCAGCTCCGGTGCCTCGGGCGGCCGCTCCTCTGGGGCCTGGCCGCAGCCCGCGCATTTATAGCCTCGGCCGCTGATCTCACCCGCCTTTATAAATAGCCTCCCAGCTGCTCGGCTGTGGGCAAGGTATGCAGCGGGGAGGGGGCGGCGCGGTGACGGTGGCCCTTGAGGGCCCGACCCCCCAGGACGAGCCCCCTGCCCCCATCCCAGGGCTGGCTGAGGGCGCCGCCGCGGGAACACGGTGTGCCACTGCCTCCCCGGGGAACTCCCTGGCACCCTAGGACCACCACACCGGGATGTGGTGACCTGGACCCCGGGCTAAGCTCCTGCACCCCAGGACTGGCAGAGGGCGCTGTGGAGTGGCCATGTGGTGGTGAGCTGGTCCTCAAACTGGAGTCCCGGGACTCCAGAGCCTGCTGAGGGCCCTGTGGGCAGGGTGTCCCCTCTCATATGCCCTCGGGCAGCGGCCACAACTGCAAACATGCTCTAGCTTCTGGCTTGTGCGAGCCTGCCCAGAGGCGACCCCAGCCATTCTTGTGGATACCTCGCTCCCTGGCCACTCTCAGTTGGGGTCCCACTTTTCCAATGGGTCCTGGAGCCCCAAGACGCGGCAGCCCAGTGTCCTCTCATCCCTCCACATGGCATCCCTGAAGGGCCCTGACCAGGCATGGGTCGGGGCCGTGAGGTCTTCCCACCAGAGGTGCAGGCCTGGGGGCTGCCCACATGGGACCCCAGTGCTACACAGCATCCCTGTGGCTCCCTAGGTCCACCTCTCCCTTCCTCCCTGGCTCCAACAAGTGCATGTGTCCACATGGGACGCACAGGGAGGTGTCCACCCTGGCCCTGCCCTCAGGTAATCCTCAAGTGGGAAGCAAAGGAGCCCATGACTCTAGTGGTCTGGGTCACATAGCCCTCCAAACCCTGTGACCATGGGGTGGTAGCCAAGGGACCAGGTTTTGAAGAATCTGGTCCCCCAAAACAGGGTGGGCAGGGGAACCTCCAAAGAGGGAGCAGGACACTCTGGAGACTTCTGTGGCTGGTCTTAGCTGAAGACCGGCTGTGGGTGTGGAAGATGAGGTGGGGCGGGGGTGGTGCTTAGGTGATGGAGGAGCCCATCAGAGCCTGTGGGCACGGGTGTGGGGTTTCCGCAGAGGGTCATGGGCACTTTGGCTCTTTAGAGAGAACACGCTGATTGCTCCTGGGAGGGAATGGAGTCAGAACGGAATAGAGGGAGCTTGGTAGTAACTGGTGGTGATCCCAAGATGGGACACACTTGGTTCTACATCCTGTACCAGGAAATTGTTGGGAAGGTGCAGGTGGGTATAGATGGTGGCAGGAAGGCAGGGGCACCTTTCCTGCAGGGGTCATGTGAGGGAGGAGAGCAAGGCCTTGGAGTCCTCTTTTCAGCATGTGGCAGAACTTACAGCTGCAGGCTGGGGGCTAGGCCAGGGCATCCAGGAGACTCATGGGGAAGGTGGGGCTGGGGACTGGGCGTTTTCTAAAAAGACATGTTTGTGTTTTATTTCCAGATGTGATCCTCCAGCAAGCATATAAATACAGTGGGGGAGGGGGAAGGATTGCTATAAATTAGAAAGAAGCCCCCAGCGGCGCGGCAAGGAGGGAGAGGGGGAGGCCCTCCCACTTTGTGCAGACCACGCCTGGGTCATGGGCTCCATCCAGGGCTCCATCCTGGGTCGAGTGTGGGAAGGCGTGGAGATGGCGGGTCCTGCTGCTGCCTGACTCACAGATCGGTCACCTTGTTCTCTACCAGCGCGGCGATCTGCTGCAGGCGGCAGGCCAGTTGCATCTTCTGGCCCACAGGGTCTTCCTCCAGGGCACCGATGATCTACCAGGGCAGAGGAGGTCACCCCGCCTGAGACCTCGGCCTCTGACCTGCCTCCATCTCAGTAGCAGGCTGGGAGCCAGACCTTCCTAGGGAATCTTCCTCTGTGAGGAAGCTGAGTCCCTTCCCCAGCCCCGGGCCCTTCCACTCCTCTGCCTATACTGGACCTGGACACTCCTGCCCCCAAGGGAGACTCCTGGGGCCTCCCTCTGGGCTCCAGAGGCACGTACCTCTCCCCAGAGCGCCCCCAGGTCTCACCTGGTCGTAGTACCTGTGGATGTGGGTGTAGAGTTCTTGCAGAGCTTGCAGGCAGTGGGGAGCCGAAGTGTAATTCTGGGGGTGGCACATGGTAGGTGAGGCCCCAGCCCAGACCTTGAGCCCCCAGCTTCCCCCTTCCCCTGTGTCCTCACCCCCGAGAGCTCAGTAAGAGCCGAGTTCATCTCCTGGTAGCTCGCTGGAGGGCTCTGGCGGATATCAGAGTAGTATCTGCAGAAGGGCACAGAGTTAGGGGCAGGCAGCCCCCCAGAGGTCCCTCGTCCATGTTGCCCAACACCTACCTCTCTACCATCTGCTTGTAGCGAGGGATCTCCCGGGCGTAGAGCAGTTTGTTCACTGGGGAATCCTGCTCCAGGCAGGGTGGGCATGAGCGGGGAGGTGCCCCCTCCTGGCCCCATGCCCCATGGGGGGCCAGCCCAACCCAGGGCTCAGCACGGAGCCCCTGTGGCTACCCCCCCAGCCTGCCCTCCTTGGCTCTCACCCGGCCCACTTTATGCTCCGAGACTGTGCAGGAGTCCATGAAGGTCTGGGCGATGACGGCGAGGACCGCGTCCACGTTGTCTGACACCCGCACGTCAAAGATGAGCTGCGGGTTCTTCAAGGTGTTCACCCAGAACCGCAGCAACAGGCTGGAGACACAGGCCGGCGGTGGAGTGAGGCCTGGCCGGTCCAGCACAGCTCCTCCACCTGGACCCCAGTGGCCCTGAGCTGCCTCGGGAGCTGGCCACACTGGGGCGGGGGGGCAACTGGCCACCCCGGGTGATGGCCCCTAGGCCTGGGCTCCTATCCTGACCGCACTGGCAGTGTCCTGGTCTCTCTGGGACTCATCTGCCCAGGGCCAGGCTGGCAGGCAATGCACCTGTTCGTCTTCCAGATGTGCAAGGTCTCTGGGTCCTCAATGCTGTGTTTCTCGGCCAGCTCATCCAGGAAGTCAAACAGGTACTTGACGGCGATGGGCACGGGCCGGTTCACGCTGAGGATGGCTTGGAAGGTGTCATCGACAAACTTCTGCAGCGTGCCCTAGAAGGCAGGGGATGGAGCAATTCTGGGGGGAGATCAGGGTGGGGGGCCCTTCAAGCTGCAGCCAGCCCCATCATCCCACAGCGTCTCCCCAGGTCTGTCCAGGTGCCCTTGCTGAGCCTCCCCGGGGGCCCCACCTTCATGGACAGCAGGCGCGTGAGGTAGATCTCCGGGATGGCCTTGGCCCGCACTCGCTCCCGGTCCCGGTCCCTCAGGCTGCTCCGCCGTGCCTTGGCCACCTCCGGCTCCTCAGGGGTTTTCACCAGGTGCCACAGACGGATCCCACCCTCCTCGCTATCCTCCAGCATGGGGGTGTCTGAGGGCGCAGAATCTGGGCCTCAGTCCTTGGCTCCCCGCCCTGCACCCATGCCACCAGCCGGGGAGCTCCAGCTCGCATCCAGGAGCTCCCCGATGGCGACGCACTGCCACCCTTGTCCACCCGCGAGCCTGGGCCCAGTAGGGAGTCTTGGCTTCCCCGCTGACAAGGTGTTGGGAGACCCAGGAAGGATCGACGGCATGGCCTTGAGCTCCTGGGGGCCTGTGGTCCCAGTGGGACCACACTCACTCTCCCCTGATGGGCAGCTGGGGGCCAGGCTCTGGGAGATGACACCTCCTCCGTTGTGCAGCTGGGGGATGAGCCTCACCGTGGCTCCATCTGGGACCTGGTGGGGAGGGGGGCAAAGGCTGGGCTCCTTCCCTTGCCAAGCCCAAGGCGGGGGCCTGCCCCCCCAAACCCCACCTGCCGGGCACCTTGTAGTGCTGCAGGGTGTTGAGTCTCTTCCAGCGGTTCTGAGTCACCGACGTCACGTCCTCATCTGACAGGGTGAGGTGACCTGCCAGGCCCGAGCGCCACTCTGGGGGTGCCAGGAGGGGAACCCGGGGGAGCCAGTGAGCCCACAGCCCATTCCTGCTGGGCAGAGCCGAGCTGCCAGGGGCGATGAGAGCCTGGGGCGAGCCCTCACCGAGATCCAGGGTGTGCGCCGAGGGCCTCTGGGAAAACGGGGTGCCCTTGTAGATCTGATCCAACACCTTCTCCTTGACCTGAGTGATCGTGTCCGTGTCGAGCACCCGGGTGGGGATGTGCAGTGCTACGTTGCTCCTTGATGGCCCACCTGGCCCCGGGCCGGCCAGCACCATCAGCGTCAGGGCCCGGAATTCCACGTCCTCCCGCAGTAGGCGGCTGTCATTCAGGGTCCGTTTTGCCTTGCCTGTCACCGCGTCCACAGGGCCCTTATCCACCTGGTACTGGATGGCCCGGAGGAGCATGTACATTGGTTCACCAGCCACCTCCTGCAAGCATCAACCCAGGGATCGGCCGGCTGCATGAGCTCACAGGGGCAGCTGGCTATGCGGAGCCAGGGCAGAGGGCGGCCCACACCAGCGGGCTTGGCTTCGCACGCGGCCAGGGCCAAGGTTCACCACCTGTCCCTTACCGACACTCTGCCCTTGTGCCCGAGGCCCCCTGGGAGGGATCGGGCCACAGATCAGGGAGGCCCAAGGCAGCAGCCCCAGCATGGGGTGAGGGGAGAGGGGCTCTCACCCTCAGGAAGGCGTACAGGCAGATGGACACCCAATTGGTGAGCAGCTTCTCCGCCATGGTCTCCGTCCTGCATGGAGCAGGCCCCAGGTCAGAGGGGCTGCTGCAGGACTGTCTCGTCCCCCACCCAAGGCCAGTGGCGGAGGTCAGGCAGGGCTGGCTTGCCCTACCAGTGGCTCGGGACCCAGCTGGCTGCCTGGGACTCCCCGGGCCCGCCCAGCCCAGAGCCATCCAGGGCCAACCTGCGTAGCATGAGCTTGGGGTTCTTGCGCACGTAATGGGAGGCCAGGTCACTGAGCAGCGTCCTCAT